AAACGAAAAGAAAACGAAAAGAAAACGAAAAGAAAATAAAAGAAATAAAATGCAACGAAATCCATAAGTCGTTCGATTAGTGTGAACATTTGACGAAATTATAAAAATTTAAAACCAAAAGCTGAGTGACCAAAAAAATTAATATGCAGAATATTTTAAACACGATAAATATATAAACGGCATAAAACAGCCATGTCATGCGCTCATGCGATTGTCAATTTCAGAATATTCCAGAAGGTTTCTTGGAGAAACGTTTCATTATCAAATTAGGCTTTAGGATGTTACATCACTTTGCGAGAAGCCGTTATATTGGACCAGTCTTGAGGTAAATTACCTGCTATTAAAATTTGGATCGTCGGGTCTCCCACTCGAAAGCGACAACCATACCGAACGTATAACATGATCGTAAGCCCTGATGACAGAAGATTAGCTAGAGATATATATTGTGCGCTGAAATTATCATTAGTTATTAGCTAGATTTAATGACTAATTGAGAATAGAACCCAGTCTTCACATCCGAGTTTGACAAGATTGTTTGGATGGTCACTAATGAACTAGGCGTAATTTTCGACATGTTCGCTTAATACATTACTGAAGAAACTAAAGAGACCGACGTCGTTTTCTGTATAAGATCGTCAGGCGCATGCTATTGATGTTTCTGTGTTTCTTTGGTTCAGTTACTACGAATTGATCGATCGATATTGAAAAATTGTCTCAGTAAGGGATCAACAAATGCGTCGTTGCTCAGAGGTGTTGTACACTAGTACTCGAAAAAGGCTAGCGAGCTGATATTGCAGCCTAACTATCTATAAAAGGTAAGAGCTTGAGATTTGAAATTGACTAATCACTTGACTAATCCGAGTAATAAAAAAAGGGAATAAAATATTACATATATAAGAAAAAAACTAACGATTGATCAGACTCAAAAATCAATTCGACAAATAAGAACTAGATTTCACAATATGTATGTGTTTCTTAAACAATCCTCTGAATCTATAAATACTAGTTCTATTGGCTTTGCTATTTTTATGTAGTATGCGGCCGCTGGCCAAACTTCTTGGAAGTCGTCGAGATATCCTTTTAGAAATACATGGCTTTAGACTTTATTACTTCTATATATGCCATATCTATATCTACATAACGATGCCAAGGAGCATTTCGTAAAGCCTTGGAAAGTATATCCTTCTGACTCACATTCTTTGAAACTATACTTAGAAATTAATCAACACTGTCCTAAAACCATGGATGGACAGCACTGTTAATGACTGATCATTATATCTTACTGGTGTTTGCTCATTTGATGAAACCTCTTAGACTACAATTCCAATGCATATGGTTCTAACAGATACCGGCTCAACTAAAGTCGCCGTGAGTAATCAAGCACGTTTATATCGTTTTTTGAAGTCGTAGAAGTTTCCGGGTGTTTTTTAAGTATCATAGTCCAACGATTATCCTTACAACTCTATAGGCCGGGGGCACATTTCTAGATTAAATGGTTGACCTTTTTAGAGCTGTTATATCCATCAGTATCATTCATTCTTCTGTTTTGAATATATCGAGTTCAGCTTATGGCCCCTCCTGGTAGGGTCCAACCGGAGCAGTTCTACTTAGATTGAAGGACCATCACTTTCTTCAATGACTGGTTTAGTAAGAAAATGTTTACCAATCGGTTGGGGGAAAAACTTATGAAAGGTAATCGTGAGGTAATGATTCTAGACATTATCGATAGATGTATCATGAGCGATTGGTTTTAGAAAGAAACCCCGGCGTTTGCGAATGGACTGATAAGGTAAATCGATTGATCACGAATCATTAAGAAAAATAAAAAAACCAGCATATGGTTTCTATTAAGCGTAATAAATACGAGTGTAAAACATTGATAAAGAAAAGCTTTATTTCAGAGCCAAACTCCACAAAGCGTTTTAATCATAGAGTGTATGCCTTTCTCCCACCCTTCTCGGCTTTCCGTGACAAAGTTAGCTTACAAAATTGGAGAAATTAGTGCAAAGTTTACTGAAGTCTACTGAACATACTAATTTGCGCAGATTTTTGCATTTTCTTAAAATGTTTGTCGTGGATAATATGGTATGCACTTTATTTGCTTTGAAATAATTGGTTAGCTAAATAGTCATGTGACTGTCACGTGACTGACTTCACATGGCTTATCTTCTTACTGAGGGAGAACATTACGTCTACAGCACACGAGCAACTTATTAATGAACTGACATAAATTTTTCTTTGGCCTGCTGCTGTGAATGAAATATGACTGTCGTGAACCTGATGTTCTTTGAGGAAACCGCTTCTATCTCTGGGATCGTTCTGTTATTGGCAAATCATCATTGCCGGACAAAACTGAAGAGCAGTCGGACGTTTGCCGCTGAGCCGATGGCTAATTAATCGAACTTATCAAGTATTCGATCTGTTTATTAAACTCATAATAATGCAGTACTTTAAAATAGACTGATGTTTAGATTCTGGGTCAATAGATCATGTTCCGCTCATGCGATCTCCTGATGGAATTCTGTTCATGTAAGGACACACACACAAGTAACATTTCTACGGCTGTATGGTCCTTTGTCGCCTTACTCTGACCATTGGATCCTAAGTGTGAAATATTCGAAGAAACCCTTTTGGTCTAAGGTAAGGTTTAAGTATGTTTCGTACGTTAATAGAACTCTTCACAACAGAAGATTTTGTTGACTGTTCTAATAGCCAGGTGCTCAGCGGTACTTGCAGGTTTAACTAACCATGAGGACCGCAGTTATCTTCGAGTGTTGCCTTTAACGGCTATCGACTATAAACTTACTCTACAAAGTCTCATAAAAAAATTAGTTTCTGAACTTGTAGGATATACATAGATTTCCATTCTCGTGAATATATACTATGGATTTTAGGGAGTCGGTGAGCATTGCAGCATTGGTCTCAGATTTTGTTTAAAACTCTTATGTTGCATGGATTATGTTATAAACTCAATGCTGTTTATTTGATATTTATGATATGATGGATTAGCAGAACTGCTGAACGTTCTTGACATTAATTTGGTGCTAATTCTTTCATCTTAAAAATATAGCACATATCATTATGCCATACATAATTATTTATTCTTATAAGTCATGCATTGGTTTCGAAATAACTATTATGCATTTGACACAAATCTTACGGAGATATTTTAAAACTATTTACAGATAGCGTATGGCTGTAATACGTAAAGACAGACCTTAGAAGTGAATCTTGAAAATCCACTTACGCCTAGCTTATTGGGATCTTAGATTACCTTCTGGAATTTCGATTAGGGACGTTATTACTTCATAACATCGTAGCTTACAAGACTCACAAGTACTGACAGATGACCTTCACCATTCAACCGTCCAAAAACTAGTAATTTTAACTCTAAGGCTAGACTAAGTAAGTGCTAAAGGTTCCGCGAGTGACGACCGTTCATGCTGGGACCTCTAACTCTACCGCTTTTTAGCATTAGTTTATTGTTGAGCTGAGATAAAATACTTTCTGCTTTAGCGAAAACTCTTAAAATTGCTGGTGCTTTGTTTCCATAGAGCATCATCTGGACAATAGTCCCCTTCACAGTTCCTTGGCCATCTTGAAAGGTAGCCGTGCCTTTGCATCGAAGCAAGACGAACGGTGAGCTTRCAATGATAGAGACATGCGAATAATTGTYTAAGGTGTTAAAAAAAGGTCTTTATCATTGCAAGCTCACCGTTCGTCTCGCTTCGATGCAAAGGCACGGCTACCTTTCAAGATGGCGCAGGGAACTGTGAAGGAGACTATTGCACAAACAACTTTCAGTTTTTCCTTCGAAACTAAGGATCACCACCTTTTATCAAAAAAGAATTTTGCTTTTTAAAAAAATACTAGGAACATGTCGATTGAAATTTTTCAGAGGTCAAGAGTACAATTTATTTAATTTGAAGAAGCTGCATTTTCTATCACTTGACACGTCTTGAACCAACTCGAAATTATTAAGCCAACTTTTGAAGTCTCATTTAGCCTGAGGCGAGAACAAGAGGCTTGCAAAAAATTAAGGCTGTGAACAAGGTCAACTCAATACGATAAAAAAATTGTAGTTAAGCCACAGAAAGAAGGCGGGAAAATCAATCAAAGACTGATTTAAATGAGGTCTAGAACCTGTTTTTAATCTGAGAGGTCGTACGAAGGCACCATTGATATGAGCAACAGAGCAAAGACTTGCTAAATCACTAAATGTATACTGAATATAGTATAATGTTACACATTTGTCAGTAAATTGAACGCCTTGATACTACAAAAGCGGTAGCATAACACTACAAATTGATGACCGTATACTACAAACCTTTTTTTATAAACAATCTTACAGTAATTAATTTCCCCTAAGTCGTTTCTGGTAGTAAAAGTCAATGCCTGATAGTAAAGGCAGTTAATAGCTCCAGAGTTAATAGATAGCTCATAACCCGAGATTTTTTACGGAGGTCGTTAATGATGTAGACCAGGCCGACGTCAAAATTCACTGATATAACGAAGAACGTAACAAGGTCATTAATACACATTTTAATGTCGATTTTTTTTTTTAATTGACCGGCATAAATGGTCTGGAATTATTTGCTGCACTGATATACTCTGGCTGACGATTCTCATTTACGGTTTTGGATCCAACCAAAGAATCATGATTCAGCAAATGTTTGGTCAATGGTATTCCGATCTCTCGACCCTACAAATCAGTCTTAATCAAGCCAAATATTTCATAGATTAACGAATATTCAAAATTCTAGACAATAGGAGAACAAGTACATCCAACAGATAAAAGTTATAAACTTTATGAGTTCGACTATAAGGATAAAAGAGTCAGACGGATTTGGAAAGGTTACTGATTTCCAGCATCACGATTTAGATTTTTTAAAGATTAATGGCCCGTTGATTAAGGATCCTTTCATGAGATACTTGCTATGCCCAACATTCATAAGGAACGGACCATGAGATAGTTGAGGGGGGGGGGGGGGRGTTTGCGTAAATCCCCAAAAAATATCGAGCGAGCACTTAAACCTCAAAAAAAAATCGTTCAACCTCTTCTGCTAGAAGAAAGATATCTAACTGTACGCAAAAAAAATAATAACGTGCAAGGGTTGAGCCAAAAAATAAATACCATGCAACCAAAATTCCTGCAACCCCCCCATCAATTATCTAATGACTCATCCCTAACGTTCTAGCTAGATCAGTAATCCTTGGATAATCTTATCAGTTCTAAAGTTTGTAGAAGGTTATGATATGAGTATCACACTATTAACCTAAAAGCTCTTTGAAAGCTTTGCTGACATTTTAATGTGGCCTTCAGATTTGCTTTAAGGGTAACTTTACCATTTTGTCATATCTAAATAGTCCGCATTAAGTGATACTCTATGTTAGTCTAACAAACACACGTTATTCATAAAACGAAATGGAATCTTAAAATATTCGATGGCGTTATATCGGAGTGCCGCAGAGATCGAGTTTAGGTCCCTTAATCCTAATACTGCACGATATATGTCCAAAATAATAACTTTACACCTATTTTTAACTATATACCACATTTCAGTTCTTGATTTGGTTGTATTATTTCAAAGTGTCTGATTTTTCTTAAATTTTTTCTCCAGATAGAAATAGAAATATCGGCCCTACGTGCCACACTGGCATAATATGATAATGAAAATGATGTTTATGATCCATAACTAATGAAATTTGAAAATGGCAGTTTACAAACTGCATGATAGGAAATATGATGAAGACGAAGTTCAAAATGAGGATTCTTGAACTCATTAGGTGTTGGCGCGTTGTCTCGAGCGTTAGAAACTGACCAGCATTTTACGGAATAACGCCAAAATGGAGCCAAAATGTACAAGGCGGCGCACTCACTGGAAGATAGGTAACATTTTGACTCCCAAAGTTCAAAAAAGTTCGCTTAGAGCCGCAATAAGTAATCTTACTTCACCCTAATTTCCTATTATTTATTAAATTCTGTATGCAATTTCCACCTACTTGGATTTCAAATATATATATACTGCTACTAAGGCTTGCACTAGCATTTAATAAGTAATGTTATCTTTATTTTTACTGTGAGTTTAGGTTTAATGTAATGTGGTCGCGTTTGAAGATAAGAAAAACATCAAGTAGTGCGAATTTCGACAATTGGCAGCACTTCATTGGAAAGACTTCAATCAATAAATGAAAGAATATGATAAGTAATAAAGAAAAAAAAATCGATTTATTAGAAAAGATTAATTTTATAAATGAGGACCTGAAGTTACCATTTTCCAGATTTTTTAAAGCATTCAGTTCTTGAAAATTAAGAAATAAAAAGAGAGTGGACCATTTTCGTGCATGACCTTGATCAGTTAAGAGATTATCATTGTATACAGCACAACAAGATATGATTACAAATTGGACGAAAGGGATGATGATGTGAAATGCCCTGGGGAGACACCAGTGAGAACTAATCAAGTGTCAACATGAACGATCTTCCGCACGAAGTTCAATTACAAAAGCAATTAGAAGACATTGCAAAAATGCTCTTCTTTTTTTCTTTTTCCGTCAACGAGAAATGATGAGAGGTAAAGGAGATAAATTATGATTATAGCCGGAAAATTGAACACCATGCATAATTAACAAAAAGACTATTTGCTTGTTATACAATCATATTGTTTAATATCTTAATCGATCACTATACGTGTGTCTTTTTCCTTCGAGTGCTTAAAACTAGAATCGATCCTTTGGCGAATGACACCTTTTAGTGAGCAGTTCTCGTTCCGTTTGGCCTGAAATTCATGTTTAGCATTTTTTTGATATTCGTTTTTTGTTTTGCTTCCACGGTCTCGTACGCGACTGTGTTGATAGTCAGAGCTAAGATTGGATTAATTCAGTGTCAGTTGAGTAATTGGACACTGAACATGGTATATAGATAAACTTATACTGTTATATATCGAGTGCTTGTAAGTACGAGCTTTCGTTCCTCTAAGGCTCCAGTAAGGCAATGGCAAACTTGCCAAATGAGAAGTACTAAATCGCTTAGCAATTTTCCTTGAAAAAAATGCTAGTATTATATTAGAGGTCCTGATCACTATCTCAGGCTCAGATGTGAACACATACAAACTTGATAATTTTTCCCCCTAAGTATCACCATAAGCAATCTAGTACCAAGAGTCATCCATCTCCTGCTGGAGAGACTCCAAAAAGGCTGAAACTCGCCTCATTTCTTTTATACTTCCAGGATAATCCCTGAAACTCGTCTTTACGTAACATATCAAACACGGGAAAGAGTGTTTTATCCGATTTTCAAACACAGAGAAGTTTGATGGAAAAAAAMCAAATTCGAGGTGTTTGCATAGAGGATGAAGCACTCTTTGAAGTGCTGATATGGCTTCTCAAACTATAATGACTCTGGAGAAATTCAAAGCATAAGTTGCCCAAATTTTATGCTAATGAGATCCCATTTCCAACTCTCCTTCACGCTATTTATTTTCTTTGTTTTGTCCTCATGAATTATCAATCAGTTCGAGAATGAAGAAATAAGGGATGGAAAAGTGGGTCAACCTCTCTAACGCTACTGCGAAACAAAAAATGTGATGTACTGTCATCAAAGTATTCTCTCCAAATGTTTGTTTGCGCGTTAACACGCCTACAGTTATTTCAAAAAAGGTTGAATACTGAATAGTGCATTCCAAGTCCCAAGTGCAGTGTGGGTCATAGTGACATTGTCTAAAGTAGGATTAATAATTATTATTTATTCTATTTTTAGTGTATTCCATCTAAAACAATATGCTAACTACATGTAGAGAGTTAATTACTGTATATTTACTAGTTTATTTCAAATTAACAATTAATGCCCTTTGGTATTCAAGTATTTAAAGTATTCAACCTTTTTTGAAATACCTGTATATCATAAATATCAATATTACCTTCACAACGTTTTTCCATTAATATTTCTTTCCTATTTCCTTGGCTTTTTTCTTTTCTTTTATTATATTTTTCTAATGAAACACTTCAAGTGAAACGATGGTAATTTCCCTTCATAATCAAAAATAAGAAACGAAATTTTTTTTTGAAAATATAAATTTTTTTAGCAAAATTTTTTTTTTTCAGATATCTCTTGTTTTTAATGAAAGAACGATTTGAGGTTGTACGGTAAAGAATACAAGAGAGCGGTTTCCTTTTGTTACGGTTCTACTGTTATTATATTAGTTTTGCTCAGATATTTATTTCGAAGCTTCATCCATCACTTTAATCCAACCCATTAGCCTGATGGAAGAAAACAATTTTAGGAAAGAAATTACAGGATTTGACCGAAAACGTCAGTTTCTAGCAGCAGCGATAGCGTGGTATCTAAGATGGATCAATTCACACAACTTGCGAAAATATAAAGTTAATAAGATTGTTATGATTAATAAGCTTTTTAAACACAATGCTCTTTTATTATCTTATTTGTTCTTAACTTAATACCTTATTATTTCCAGCACCAAAAAAAACCCGTTTAGTGTAGTACATCCATGGTATAATATATATGTTTTTGACGTGTGAAATGAATATCAATTTAATAAATCAAGAATCAATCTTACTATCTTGAAAGTCCGGAACCTCCTTGGTTGGTCTTCCTCGAAAGCAGGATCATCAAACCTCGAGTATAAAGTCGTTTTTTCAGTCGATTGTACACTTCCTTCTCTCATCTGCAACACCTTCTCTTAGTACATATAAACAAACAAATAAGAAACAGAAGTAAAGTTTAAATCTATCAACAAGATTTTTATTTGTAATACTCGGCATGAATCGAGGTGTGTAATGCGGTACGTTTGATATGTCATACGCATGCGCTATAAGGCATCTTGAATTTTCTAGTTTCTATCAGCCTTAGAATCTCGGGTTTTTATAGCTTAAGCGTYATGACTAGGATTAAAACGGATAAAATATGTAATTTCTTTTTAAAAAGAGGATTTAATCTGCGCAGATGTTTTCCTGGTGCTACTGGGAGTTTGTGATATTTATATGTTACAGACTGCATAAAACCCCGGCATTTAGACACTTCATTTATAGACAATGCCTTGATAAATAGATGACAATATATTTCGCACTATGAAGTAAATACATTACTAATATGAATCATAATAAATCGCGGGTTAAAAGTTTCTAGTAAAATTGTTTACTTATGTGAAATACTGCCACAAGATAACAGTGTTCTATTCAAAGATGCTGGAACTGATAGATCAGTTATCATGAGTCCTTCAAAACGATAGCAGAATATATAATAAAGGATGAAAGATGGCCTTGGGTTTTTTAAGCGGATTGTTTGTGTGGTATGGATCAGAAGTAGATTTTTTAAGATGTGTTTGATAAATGTACTTCGACACTGAGATATATTGCGATAGACCCACACACATTATATATCGCAGCTATTTAGGTACTTGCTTGCCCATTTCGTTGCCTACTCACTATGGAGCACTTAAGTTGGGTGTCATACACAGTCATCACTTCACTAGTCTCTTTCTAGCTTTAATTAACCCTTCTCGTTTATTCTCTTAATAAATAGCCTTTTAAGAAGACAAGGTGTGTTCCATTAAACATCCCTGCTATGAAACTCATTAATGGATCCGGACATTAGTGTACTTATGCCACGGATCACTACATTGATGTATTTTTTGTAGCCAGTGCTAAAATCAACTGGCGCTAACTCTATACAAGGCTGTCAATCATTGCCAGTGTTAACTGTCACACTGACGAGGGGCGTCAGGTATTGATATTTTCTCTGGAGCACTCCTATAAAAGCTAACAGGAACGCTCAATCTCGTTTCTGTTTTTTGCAGGGACAACAATAGAGGAGTCTATACTTTGAAAGCACTCTCTAATTTGGTAAGTAAATTCTTTCTTGACTATTTTGTTGTACATAAAATTTTCTCTCGGACTCTCAATGTCTCTGTCTGTCACTCTTTTCAAGGTTTCGAGGTTTCAAGGTTTTTCATTTTCCAGATCTAGCATTTATAGTGATTATATTTACATATTTTTTCTATTTACTGGGAGCTACACGTGAAAAAAACCGAGAAGGTCTGCTGGTTTTATTAATGAATGTAAATCGTATATCTTGGAGATGACTCTAGATAGAATGTGATCATCTATTGCGTCTTTCATAAAACACTGCGTCAAGTTGTTCCATGTCGATGAAATGAGATACGAAAACTCAGATTAAAATGCGTCTAAAACTTTTAATTCAGTAAAATTATCAGGAATTCGTTGACAAACGGATTTAAAAGTTGAATAACTAATCTTAAAAACTAAAGTAAAAACGGTTTTTCTTTTACCTTTGCCAGGAAGCAGGCCTACATTGCTGTTTCCTTTATTAAAAATGGGATTCCCGTCACGTACGAGCTCTAAAATCAACCATGATATTGCTCGAAGCAAAATGCTTGATCAAAAATGATATCAGGTGGAGTACATTATTAGAATTATACTGGTTTTAAAGCAATATAGGAGGAAATATTGATTGAAAAAAATCTAGATGACAAATTAGCTTGAAAAGGAAAAGAAATGAGAGCGAGTAAAATTAAGTCGTTCGGTATATGTCGTTCGGTACGATCATAATGAATGAAGAAGATAAAGTTACCTAAAGGTGGTTTCCTGGAAAAAGTATTGCCAAACACCTTATCGAAAATTGGAAAGAAATACTAAGAAAACAATAAAATTTATATTAGTTGGTATTGCGAGGAAGACAAAGATACTGTACTCTAAGTAGCCTGGAGCCAATTTGCTAAAATATATATTGGAATAGAAAACATGAAAATAAATAGTAGTCCAATGAGTGCACAATTTATGATATAACTTGATATCATGATGAATAAGATGGATTTTCTGTGGCAGCGAGTGGTTATTTGCTGTTAAAATAGGCAAGATGAATAAGAAAAAAAAAAGAATTTTGTGATGGGTCGTCGAATATGGCCTCAATCAAAATAATGAATTACTGTTATAAATTAAATAGGAAGTGATATTAGGAAGTGGACTGAAAACAAAGTATAAATATTGGTCTTCATTTTTGTTCTTTAGCTTCATACATTTCAGTATGGGTAAAAACCTCACCAAGCTGCAAGAGGTAAATTGGCACGGAAACGAAGGAAGTAAAACCAAAACCGCCTTAAAAAAACTTTATCAAAACATCACTGAAGAAGTAATTATTTAAAAAATTGAGTGTTTTGAAGCAATTAGTTCCGTTGCCCGAGGCCAATTCAGTCAGCGTTAGATGATTAAAATAATGCTATATTTCTTGTACGTGCTCATGCTTAGAATATATGTATGCCAGATATGATGAAGTTTTACCTCCACGAAGACCTTGAAGTACTTGAAGAAATGATGGGTATGTGCAACAGTACTCAAATATCATATAGTGACCAAAAGCAAACCTAGCTCAGTACTAGATTCAGTTGTCTGTTCTCTTCAAGAAGTCATTAGCAGCTGTTAAAAACATACTTTACAGTAAACAAAACCTCTCCAGGTTTTAAGTTTCTCTTGCCAAACAAAAATGTGTCGAAAACAAGGAAGAGCTTTGCATAACAAGGAAATATTATTTCACGCTAAAATTTAAAACTACAAAAAGATATTGCTGCATGGTCATTATTTGTATTTCAATGTAATTCATCATATTCTAAATCCAAACCTTAACTTGAGAATCGAATTCCTTAAATAAAGGTTTTGGAGATTTCCCATCCGATCAGATTGCGGCTACCGCCGTGTAACTTTTTCCTGACAGCCTGCCAATTTAGCAAGTGCTGAAACATTTAGCAATGTTGGAGGTCTTAACTGACCTCATACTCTCATTTAAACCTATTTTCTTTCACTCTCAAACGTGCATCCCGCCAGAGGGCTTAAATACAAGAAGTGGGATAGCTTAACCATGATTAGAGATAAAATTCGCACCGTCAGCTTCGGTTCAAGTGGCAAAGCAAACGACAAAACACTGATTTAGTTTCTCCAAATTTTGATTGATCAAGTTATTTGTCTTTAGGGGAGAGAAGGGATTGGGGGTGGATGCATACTTTACTGGTCCGTGTTCGTATATGGTAGTAAGGTTATATTAATAAAGCATAAATCACATAAATTATTCACAAAAGCAGCCTTATTACATCAAAGGTATTAGGGCAGCTGAAGTACGTGTTAATGACACGGCAACATTAAGGATTCACTTAAAATCGTTAAAGTGGTAATCGGATCTCCAGTCCAAGTAAAAACGAAAAAAAAAAAGAAAAATACGCAAAATTTAAGAAGATCAAAATAATTTTGTTTCTGTGTTGGTTTTAATTCTTCTTTTTTTTCCTTCAACTAATGCTTTTTCTATGTGTTTTTATGAGTACTTCTTTTATATATCCTCCAGTCCAAGTAAAAACGAAAAAAAAGAAAAATACGCAAAATTTAAGAAGATCAAAATAATTTTGTTTCTGCGTTGGTTTTAATTCTTTTTTTTCTTCCTTCAACTAATGCTTTTTCTATGTGTTTTTATGAGTACTTCTTTTATATATCCTTGTACTCTTAGAAGTAGTTTTATTCTTTAGGGGAATTTAATWTCCCTTTTTCTCCTTTYTGAGTTTTTTTTTTTTTTTTCTTTCTTTCTTTTTTCTTTCTTTCTTTTTCTTCTTTCGTTATCACGTAAAAAACCTGGAAAATATTTATAAGCAAAAGCCGACTTCCACACATTTCAGAAGGAAAGCAAATAAAAACAGATTTACCCCCACCGCAGTAAATTGGTCTTAAAACACAGCAACAAATCTGTTTACCAAAGTAAGAGCTTACTTTACAAGATAGACGAGGGAAAAATGGATTAAAAAGACATTATAAAGGTTATAAAGTAAACACAGAAAAAAAAGTGTGATTAGATACTCTTATCTGGAAATTTATTTTTACTGCATTTTGGTATTATTCAGTTATATCTTTTTATCAAAGGAACGAAAGAAAACGTTTAGTTTTAAACGGATTTAATAGGTTACGGATTATTTTTATGTACACCTTAGAATAAGCTTCTTTTCTTGTCGAGATACAGCGCACTGAGTAATGAAACTGAGTGGAAATGGATTTAATGATGAAATAATGAAAGAAATATCTAGTGATGCTACCCCGATAAAACGAACAGTACTCTGATATAAGTTAGATTAACAAAGATCCGGCGTAACCTATATGGTGTAGTGGTCAATATAATGCGGAACAGGGCAAAAACCTTTCAACAATGTGCTCGTTATGTACAGGTTTTGGTCATTTGGTTTTAGATCGGTTTAATCAGCAACGGTCCGTGAGCAAGGCAACGCGGTTCAGTTAGGTCGTTATATACAATTATTTGCCATTGGTTTTGGTTTTGGTCATTTGGTAGTCTCATACCCCATTCACATTAAGGCTTAAACATGCTTTAAAGTGGTTTAACTAAGCAGGTTTGAAACTACTATCCACAAACACTGCACAATCTTTGCTGAAATGCATGTAAACTATCCTTTATCTTGCTCTGATAATGTTTTAGAAAGTTTCATTATATTGTAGGTTTCTAGTTTCTCTTTTTTTCCTAATGAAAACACAGTTTAATTAAACACGTTTAGGTGTGAATGGGGTATTAGATTGGTTTTAATCGGCAATGGTCAGTAAATCAGGGCAATGCGCTTCAATGCGGTCGTTACATACAGGTTTTGGCCAGCGATATCTTTTAGTTTCTTAATTTATTGATCAAATGCCAGTTGCTTCATCTTACAAATAGAATGCTTAGATCGGTTTTAATCGATATGGTCTTGCAGTAGTTTCTCTTTTTTTTTGTTTTTTTTGTTTTTTTGCCTTACACGCTTCAGTCATCGATAAATATAAGCTACAACTGCAGTATCAGGTGTGCATTTAGTTTTCAAAGCCTCTATTTCTTTGTCATATGATATGCTTTGTCGTTTTGCCGACCTCCATGTCCAAATTTTTCGCATTCGTTTCTTTACTTTTGATTGTTCAGACTGTTGTTGACGCTCGTGTGTTATGTGTATTCACGTGTATGCTATAGGAAGTTCACCTTTATCAACTGTAAATTTATCGTTCACTGTCCCATTCGACTTTCCTGATAAGTCTTGATTGACCAAACATTTCCCCCATAGCTTCAGAAGCCCATATGAAGTTCTCATTTAAAGTAGATAGGCCTTACATTGACTGAATTTCTAAAAATCCTATCGTTTAAAGATAAATGAAATTTAAAGTCTTGCCACGAATCTCCTCAGTTTTAAGCAATTTCTTTCAACACAACTAACAAAACACTAGACTTGGTGGATCAAGGGAACCATAAATTTATAGCACAGTTCATTGATAGACTCAGCTCCTTGCATTATACCTATTTAGGGGTCACAAGTCAAGATTAAAAATATCGATGTCTCGAGAGAAGGGTCAAATGATTAGTGCGGCAATTGGGTATATATCGTTGTCATCGCCAAAGGCGATAGGCAATAGGCAAAAAGCAATAGGAGATCCAAGAATACCTGGAATGACTCGTGTTTCTGCTTCTTATTCTCGTCAAGAACATGGACCTTAGTACTTTTTATAATCTTATTCATGTAAAATTACATAATCATAGATTGTTATTTATTATTTTTTCTTTATATACTTAGTAATATAAAGCGTTTAGAACAATTAGTGAATTAGCGCTATATAAATAAATTTATTATTTGTTATTTATTCTTATTGAGACTGATTCAATGTTCTTCGTATTCAACGAAACCATTTCCATGTCAGAATGACCTATCGCTTATCGCCTTTGGATATTATGGATGGTTTTAGTGCGAGGACTCGATGCTGGATGGTCAATGCACTTCCTTATGATCTCAGTTTTATAGTTTACAAAGCATTTCGGTATTCCATCT